ATGGAACAACATACTGTAATAACAGTGTGATTCTTAAGTTATGTCAGTGTGACCTCTCCCAAAGTTTGGAATTTTCCATTTAATATTTTCAGACCAACGTTGACTGCTGGTAACTGAAACCATGGGAAGTAAAACTGGATAAACAAGGAATACTATAGTCAGAATTCAAAATTCGTAATTTTTGCCTGTCAGTTTTTTTAAGGAGAAGGTCAGGTGGTATGGCAGATCTAAAGGGAATGGCACTCTCATATGCTCATTGCTGGTGAATATTGATTGATAAATTCTCCAGATTGAAGTTTTGCGGTGTGGGTGAAAAACTTTCTAAATTGATTATATTTTTGGCCTAGTTAATTACACCTTTAAGCCTATAAGGAAATGAGCTTAATAAGATTAATTATTATAGTAAGTGGGGGAAAAGATAAATATAATAGTATTATAAAATTATAATATAGATAGATAATATAATAGTATTATAAAACACACACACACACACACACACACACACACACACACGAAAAAAGTGAAAAGATAGACTAAAATGTTAATGATAAGGGCTGGGGCTGTAGCTCAGAAGTAGAGTGCTTGCCTAGCATGTGTAAGGCCCTGGGTTTGATCCTCAGCACCACATAAAGATAAATAAAATAAAGGTATTGTATCCATCTACAACAAAACAGTATTTTAAAAAATGTTAATGAAGGTGGTGGAAATGGGTGGCTTTATTTTTTAAAGATTTCACTCCATTTTCTAAATGTTCTATAATAAGCATCACTTTTTTTTTTAAGTAAGTTGGATTTATATTTATTTATTTATTTATTTATTTATTTTTATGTGGTATTGAGGATCGAACCTAGGGCCTTGTACGTATTAGGCAAGCGCTTTACCGCTGAGCCACAATCCCAGCCCAAGCATCACTTTTGTAAAAAATATTTTTTAGTTGTGGATTGACCTTTATTTATTTATCTTTTTATTTAAATGTAGTGCTGAGAATTGAACCCAATGCCTTACATATGCTAGGCAAGCTCTCTTCCATGGAGTTACAACCCCAGCCCAAAGCATTACTTCTTATAATCTGAAAAGTTTTAAAACAAGAGGTATCAGGTCTTGTTGGGGAAGGAAAAGATGGATACTTTAAATTTTGTAGGAAAAAAATGAAACATTTTGAGTTTTAGCATTATAAAATTAAAGCCTTTAGCATTATAAAATTAAAGCCTCGAAGGACCCAAGATCGTGTCCAAGTTTTGCTATAACTGGGGATGGTGGTGGTAGTGATGCTGTAAGTGGAGGCACAGTTCCAGTTTAGACTATTGAGCTATCTTTTGATTCAGTAAGGTCAGGTACAAAGGGCCTTTTAAATTAATTCTGCATAATAGTGTGGGATAATGATAGATTTTATTCAGGAATCTTTATCTAGTTCCTCACCTCTGAAACAGTTCAGTTCTTTAGTAGTTCTAGCTTGGATGTTAGTACTTTCTGTCTCTGGAAACAACCCCAGAAGAATTGTGGCACTGAGAAGTAAATACATGCTTTCTTTCAAAGCATGCCTTTTTTTTTT